GAGAGAGAGAGAGAGAGAGAGAGAGAGAGAGAGAGAGAGAGAGAGAGCACCCACATGCATTTATTATTCACTATATGCCAATCAACGTGCTAAGTGACAGGGATACAGATTCAAGTAAACAAAGCAGTCCCTCCCCTCCAGGACCTTACACAGCAGGGAGGGAAGACAAAAGACAAAGAAGAATGGAAAGGGGGGAAGGGAAGAGTTCATCCAGAGTCGGGGAGGGAAGGCCTGACTCATAGTAGGCACTTAATAAAACTTGACTTGATGGGACAGCCGGAAGCATGTAGGAGACCTGGAACCAGGCTGGCCTGGGAGGCCCAAATGAGCTCCAGGAGCAGAGCCCATTCTAAGAAAGGGAGGGAGATGCCGCTCACAGTGGAATGCAGTTAATGCAAAACCTCATAAAAACAAGAACAAGGTTGAGAGACAAAAAGCAGAGGCCTATGAAACAGCTTCACATAAAATCAAAACGCAATTAATTAAACAGAACGAATCTGTTTTCCTTCCAAAGGGGGCCTGGTCTTTAAAGATTCAAATCCACTCAGTGTACTGGAATCAGGCAAGGCCAAAAAGCTGGTTCCGTCACTCAGCAAGGCCACTTACGCTAGCCCCACGTGGTTCATGAGCGCCACCAAAAGTCTCCTTAGGAAATTTATAAGGATTGGTGTCTTGAGGGCTCACACTATCGGGACCTCAGTCAGTCTCCATCTATCAATGCTCTTCATCTGGGGAGAGGGGAAAAGAAGAACCAGGCATGGAGTGGAGACCACAGATTAGTTGGGAAAATAACAAAGAATATTTCTAAAACCCAAATCACATTGCAGCTCCTGATCTGAGGCTAGAAAAGTGCTTTTTAAGAATGTTCCATTTTGTTTTCTCTTTCTGGTGGTTCCTCCTATTGGTTCTAATTCTTCCTTACAACATCACTAATGTGAAAATATGTTTAATAGGAATGTATATGTATAGCCTATATCAGATTGCATGCCATCTTGGGGAGGGAGGTAAAGAAAAATTTAAAACTCTAAAGTTTATGGAAGAGATTGTTGATAAATCAAAATAAATTTTAAAAAAAATTTAAAAAAAAATGTTCCACCCCTCTCCAAGTCCATCTGGGTTAACCTAAACAATGGACCCCTCATTTTCACAACCCTCTGGCAAAATGGGCTGCTATCTTATGACAAAAGACAACTTCAATAAAACACTTTATATTTATTTAGCACATCGACCTTTCTGAAATATTTTCACATGAACATCTCATTCACTGACAATTTGGGGGTCTTTAAATCACCAGATTCCAAATGTACCCGGACAGAACGTGGTGCATGGCCACTGGAGCCCTCCCCAGAACGAGGCTCTTCCGAAGGAAGCTGTGCAGGGGGTGGGTTTCAAAGATGCAGACCAGGGGCAGGGGCAACACATTGAAAGGATCCCTAGAAGCTGGCAGGAAATGGGGTGATTGACCCCTAGGAAGGCCAGAGTACCAGCATGAACTCTGCATGCAAAGCCCCACAAATGGGGTACTCAAGGTCAGTGATGGCATAATAGAGCCAATTAAGCCAAAGCTGGCCCAGTAATCCTGGCCCTGAGATATGCAGAGTTGTTCATGCCCTAGGCCAGGGGTGGAGAGCCAGTGGCCCTCTAGGTCCTCAAGGGCAGCCCTCTGACTGAATCCAAACTTCACAGAACAAATCCCCTTCATAAAAGGATTTGTTCTGTAAAACCTGGACTCAGTCAAAGGCCACACCCAAGGACTAGAAGGCCACATGTGGCCTGGAGGCCACAGGTTCCCCACCCTTCCTAGGCCAAAGCTCCCTGCCCAACCCTGCTCCCTGTCCCTCAAACCCAATCACATCTGTTCTGTACCTTTCATGCACTATCCCATGCCACACGGCCTCATCCTTCCAGTGAGAACTCCAGCACCTCCATTCAAATACTAACAAACTCTCCTTCATATCAGATCTGTCCAATCTTCCAAAAATCACTCTGTGTGTATTTTGTGTTTTATTTTCTATGTACTTTACTTCCCAATGGTAGAATGGAATCCCTTGAAGGGAGGGCATATAGTCCCTGGCATAGGGGTGGCACACAGTAGGTGCTTAATATATGCCCATTTTCTTGCTGTCTGAATGCAGACAGGTGACTCAGACGTATTTCAATAAAAACAGGAATGACAAATCACGGTGTGAAGATTGGCTTTGTGCAAGTGACTAAGGCCAGCCAATGTATCACTGCTATGATAACTGGAGGGCCCTAACAATTTTTCAGGATGTCAGATTTTATTTGCCAGATTAGTAAGACAAGGGGCAGCTAGGTGGCACAGTGGATAGAGCACTGGCCCTGGAGTCAGGAGGACCTGAGTTCAAATTTGACCGCAGACACTTGACATTAGCTGTGTGACCCTGGACAAGTCACTTAACACCGATCACCTCACCAAAAAAAAAAAAAGACTAGTAAGACAGAAAGCCCTTTACACTCTCAACTGCAGTAGCAAATCAGCTTGATGATTTTTACAAAAGAGGTCAGCTCTGAGCTAAACATTATCTGGAAATAAACCCCATACTGTCCTACTGACACTGTCCTGTCTCACATGCCACACATTCAAGCAGCCACACTTGGCTCAACCCGAGAAATAATCAGAAGCAAAGACCTTGTCTGGCCCCTCTGACCAACCCGGGATCTCCTCCAGAAGGCCAATCCCTCCACTGGTACAGATCACACACTCAGCTTATCGGACTCCCTGATCCAAATCTATGTACACAGATCTTGTTCTCCAATCTCTTTTAAACCCCAATAAAAGACAAGATGAATAAAGTGTGTAATTCAAATTCTGTTGTTAACTGAATTGCTGCACCAGCCCCCTGACTCACTCCACCCATCCCTAAAATCACATCCACTCATAAACGCCTATCAGCTCAGGATGTTCAACAGGTCTGTGCCCTGGGAAAACCAGACCCCCAAAAAAAGGTCCCCAGGTAATTGGGGAGCTGTGGGAGAAAACCTGATCAAAGGCAAGAAGCTATGTCATTTTAATGATTCATCTTTTTTAAAGTCAGGAAGTAAAAGGTCACACTGATGAAAGAAAAGAAAATGGCCAACAGTCCTGGGGGCGGGGGTGGGATTCTTACTTTCCTGCCCAAACATTTAACAAAGGAAAGACAATTCAGACCCAGGAGCTTCGCAGACAGACTGCTGGGAGGCCAATACCTTTAAACTGCTTGATCATGTTCTGGTGATTTTCCACAGCCTCTCGTAAGATCATGTCAGGCTGATCCATCTTCCATCGCCACTCCGTACCCACGGGATTGGTGTGGTGCCTGCAGAGAGAGGATGCAGAGCTCTTAAGGATTCCCTCAACATTGAGAAAGACAACGGCCAATCCTCCAAATCTGGCAAATTCATTCCCCCAAATCACAAGGGTCTCTCCCAAAAACTCGTAACCGGCGAGCTCGGCTGGCTACAACCAATGTTTAATAAACTGGTATCTACCAAGTTCTCGGAGTCCGTCGCAAACCCGTGGACCTGCCGGGGGACAGGAGGGGGAAGATTCCCAACGCTACGGTCCTACAGGCTAAGCAGCCCGATGCCCAGACTGAACTTAGACTCCAGAAAACCAGAATTCAGATCCAGCCTCAGACACTTCCTAATCTTTCTCTGCCTAAACTTTCTCTGGCTCAGTTTCCTCACCTGTAAAATGGGGCTCAGAACAACACCTCCCACATAGGCCTGTTGTGAGGATCAAGTGAAACAACACGTGGAAAAGCACTTTGTAGACCCTGAAGTGCTACATAAATTCTAGCATCCTTATTGTCATTAAGCAAGTCATCTACCCAGCAAGCTGTCTCCACCCACACTACACACACACACACACACACACACACACACACCCCCAACCTTCCTCTTTGCATCACCACGGTTAGCACAATCTCCATGCCCCACTTTCAAGTCAAAAATTGGCACTGTTGAGTAAAGAATCCCAGGATATCATACCTGGGAAAGAGGGTCACGCCTTTTGTGAATGGATGGCATGGCCAACAGGAGGCAGCCACTGACAATATTAAGGGATCAGTGCAAATTCAGCCCAAATACCAGAAAAACAATTCCAAGAAAGCATCCTCTTGATGAGTCACCACTCGTCAGCCAGAGCCAGTCTACACTTGATCCAATATATGGCTCAGCTCTCAAAGTTAGTCAAATCAATGATTTTTAGATCGGAAGGAGCTTTAGTCATCTGGGCCAGGTTCCTCCGCCTCCTCACTGAGCAGAGGGAGGCTGTGGCCCACTGGCGAGTTCCTCCTGAGCCTCCATTCCCCTCCAAGCCCACTGCTCCTAGCTTGCAGACCTCCAAACCAGACTGGCTCATCCTGGAACTTTCCACAGTGCCTGGAGCTTCCTTGCCCAGGTTGATACAGCCAACCGCCACATAAACTCCTCAATCTGGAAGCCCCTCAGCAAAGCCAGCCCCATCTCCCATTGGTGAGTTCCTTCTGCAGCCTCCATTTTGTGGCAGGACCTACGGAGGCTTCCATTCCCCTCCCCTCTCAGCCCTACTCCTAGCTTCAAGCTTCAAAACCATTCCTCCACTTTTCAGCTCCCTTCTGTGTACCATCTCCCCCAAGAGAATGGAGGCTCTCAGAAGGGAAGGTCTGCCATTCTTTCTGCTCGCATGTGCATTAGCACAGTGCCTGGCACACAGAAAGTGCTTGATAAATGCTCATTTCCTTCCTTCCCAGAGACATTAAATTTACTACAAAGGTAGCAAGTAGGAGAGCTAGAATCTGAACCCACGGCCACTGCTCTTTCCCCTAAAGCAGGGGTGGGGAACCTGTGGTCTCAAGGCCACATGTGGCCTTCTAGAACCTTAAGAGTGGCCTTTCGAATGAATCCAAAATTTAACCTGTAAAATTTAGACTCAGTCAAAAGGCCACACTTAAGGATCTGGAAGGCCACAGAGCACAGGTTCCCCACTCCTGCCCTAGACCATGCTGCCTCTCAAGGTTATCTAGACTCACAAGCTTCCTGGATTGCCTTCTTATCACTATTACTGTTGTTGTATCATTCTTCTTCTTCTTCTTCTTCTTCTTCTTCTTGCTGCTGTTATTAGTTTCACCAAAGAGCTATAGGTTACAAAATCAAATCAACAGCACTAGTAACAGAGTTAATATGACCACATTAACCCACTTGCCATTTACAACAAAGCCATTCAAACTTGGGCAAGGCCAGAAATTGGATGTCATTATCCCACTAGCTCATATTAGCCTTTTCATCTAATCTTGACATTTTCTGGAGTTAATTAAAGATATCTATCAGCCACCTGGTTTCCAAGGACACTTTACAGGAATAGACTGCCACAAGGCTATGCAAAGTGGTAGAGACACCTAGGCCTATGCATGAGCTCCTACTTTTCAGGACCAGTCTTCTTAAAGAGGGAGACAAAGGAGAGAAAAAAACAGCCTGAACCAATCTTTTCTGCTGTGACCTTTTAGGTTAGAACATAAAAAATATGAGCAGAATGGAAGGCAGTACCTCACACATCAATGGCTGGAGGGGAAAATGTCTAATTAAAAAAGGGACAGACTTGAACATAAAACATAAAAAGACAGTTTTAATTACATATCAAAACTGCCTGGTACAAAATACAAACCAAAAAATCAATGCAGCTGGAAAAAGAAAAGAAACAGATGACTGGGCAAAAAAATATATATATTCACAGCAAATATCTGCTGAAGGTCCAATAGTCAAGATATGGGAAACTGATACCAATATGTAAAAACAAGAGTCATTCCCCACCAGAGATGAGGTCAAAGGATTGAAAAAGATAATTTCAAAAGAAAAAGGGCAAGTAATCAATAAATATATGAAAGCATATTCCAAATCACCAATAATAAGAACACAAATCTTTTAATTATCTCCTACACATCGGAATAGAAAAAACTGAATAAGGCAAATAGGTGTGTTGGGGACAGGGGGAAAGCACATTAATCCACTAGTGATGGCATTATAAATGATTTAACCATTCTGGAAAACAATCTAAAATTTTACCAAACAGGTACTAGACTATACATACCCTTGGTCTCAGAGGTATTACTTTGAGGCATATACTGCCAGGAGGTGAAAAACAGAGAGAAAAGACCCAAGTACACAAAAATACTGATAGCAGAACTTTTGTAGCAGCAAAAAACTGAAAGGAAAATTGAAGAGAAGGAGAAAGAAAAGGAGGAAAAGGAAAGAAGGAAGGAAAGAAAGAAGGAAGGAAGGAGAGAAAAAGGAAGAGAAGGAGAAGCCAGATTGAGAAGCAGGCAGGATAGCTGCATTTTGCTCCAAAGCCTATGGAATCCCAAATGACAGAAGCCGGGGCTTCCAGCCTGGCCCTCAGCTGCCACCTTCCCAAAAGCACCAACTGAAGGTCTGAAAGGAAGACAACTCAAGAACCCCCTGCAATGAAGTTCGGGCAAAAAGAAGAGACATCGTGGATCACCAGCACTGCCAGAGTCCCTGGCTTCAAGGCCACAGACTCGGCTCATCCTTTTTCCTGGGGTTATTAGACAAACTAGTATCATCATCAAGAAAGTATAACTGCAAAGTATCAGAATCTGCCTTAAGGAGGAGGAATGAAAAAGATTAAATGAATTTTTCTGGCCAAATAATCCAAACCCTCTACTAAAAGGGATCTGCTGATCTAGGATCTGTAGCCACTCTATAAAGTTGGATGCCCAAAGAAAATTAAAACTCACAGAAAGCCTCCCCTCCTTTTACTGCCTTTTCAGACAGCTGGGTCCTTGGGTCACGATTACCAAACGGGTGACCAGCCGAGGACGAGGCTTTCCCAGCAGCGTTCCACTCATCCTCCTGGATGCTGTGCCTGGGCCTCGGAAGGCCCCACAACACCCCGGCTTTCTCCTACCATCAGGCCTAACCAACAGCTCCCGATGGTGCTCCTACTTTAATTTGAGGAGGACAAGTCTCACACCTCTTCTACACAACAGCCCCTCAAATACCTGAAGGAAGCTCTAATGTTCCCCCTTTCGCCTTCTCCAGGATACACATGCTCACTGTCTCCACAGATCCTTCTCCTACGTCACAGACTCTGGGTCCTTCACTATCCTGGACTTTCTACATCTTATCAATTTTCCTTCTAAACTGGGGTATCCAGCGTTGAGCAGAATCCTCCAAACGTGATCTGACCAGGACAAAATGGAGAGGGACTGTCCCTGCCTCGTCCCTGGAAAAATGTGTCTCCTAAAGCGGACGAGGATTACATTCGCTTTTCTGTCCACCTTCTCACTCTGCTGACTCTGACTGGTCTTGAATCCTTTAACCACAGGATCTTTTGCAATCAAACAGCAGCCTAGCCATGCAATCTCCTCCATCTCGCACCGGTAAGTTTGATTCTAGCCTGGCATAATGGAAAGAGCAATGTCTCCAGAATCAAAGGACATGGGTTCAAATCCCACATCTAACCTCAAGCAAGTCACTTGTCCTCCCTGGACCTTAGTTTCCTCATCTGTAACATGCAGGGTTGGACAAGATAGCCTTTGAGGTCCTAAGTTTTATGTCTTATTGTCATTCAATGCTGACTTATTCAACTCAACCCAAAGCCCTTCAGGGATGGGGACTCTGCAGCCTCGAGGCCACATGGGGCCCTCCAGGTCCTCAAGTGTGGCCCTTTGACTGAATCCAAACTTCCCAGAACACAAGGGGGGGTGCCACATCCAACTCACAGACAAAACGGTCATCAAGATAAGGCCGAAGAAAGCATGGGAGGATGCTGTCCTGAAGAACTCCTTCCAGCTGACATTGATCTATTAATGACAACTGTCTGAGTATGGACTTGGAAGCAGTTCTGAATCCTTCTGGCTGTACGATGCTTAGTCCATCTCTCCCCATCCTTCAACCAACAATCAGCAAGCATGGAGCACTAGGGGATGCAGAGAAAAAGAGAAAACAGCCCCTGCCCTCAAGGAGCTTATATTCTATTGGCAAGACAACCTGTACATACACAGGCACACACAACATCTCTACAGAAGGAATGGAAAATAATACAGGAGGGAAGACATAAGCAGTTGGTAGGTCCAGGGAAAGCCTTCTGCACAGAGGACATTTGAGCTAAGTCTCAAAGGAATCCAGGGATCCTACATGAAGTAGGGACAGCCAGTACGAAGGTATGAGACAGGAGAGAAGAGCCCTGTGGGGGAGGTCGAGTAAGTGGGCCAGTATGGCTGGACCACATAATATGTGGAAAGGAATTATGGGTAAGAAGACTGACGAGATAGGAAGGAGCCAACCGGTGAAGAGCTTTTAAAAGTCAATCAGATTT